CACAACATTCGGGGTCAACGCCGCCCATACGTCTGGATTGCCCATCGTCCATAAACAGGAGAGCAACAAGCAGGCGGGACAGCCACCTGGCGATGTTTTGTCGTTGTTGTTTACGTAAACAGTTTTCCGCGAATTCCTTGAATAAACAACCCAGCGAGCAAAGCGTGTGAATATTAATCAGTGCGCGAAATTCGAGTCAATTTAAAACTAACTATTTGTTAGGCAAAACAACGCATGTTTTCGAACGTGTTCTGAGATACAACGAATTTGAAGTTGACTATTTGTCAGGCGAAACAACAGCTACAGCGGAAATTTTGCTTTTTGCTGGTTTCCAAATACCTCCGAAAAAGCTGTTAACTTTTCCGGCTTTCTTTTTTTGCCGTCTAACTTTGTCCTTTTCGTAATTATCGATGCCGAGAAAGAAATACTTCTTTCTCGCGCACAATTACAAAATCTTACTAATGCCCATACAAACATCAAGCCAAACCTAGCGTTTTTTTTTGTAAGCCGAATTTAGTACCACAAGACCTGAAGAAGGGCAAGATGTTATGAAATAATCGCTCGTGATGTTTTATTCAACTTTAGTTCTTGTCCCTTAGTAACTGATACGGTCATTTCTTCAACCCCAAAGGGCGATTACCGAATACTTTGACTGTCGCAACAAAAAACATCTGTTTTTTTCTACCAAGAACATACTCCTTCAGCACTGTCGCAGAGTGCGTAATGTCCGCGGGAGAGAAACAACTATCTGCGGAATCCCGGAAAGGGCGCACACAGTTTGAGCAGACGTGGATACTAACTGGAAGTATACAGCCTCGAATCGAAAAGCATATTATTATCTACTAGACACCCAGTAATATCACTAGCCATTAGCATCATTGAAATTTCGACAGCAAACAGCACTAGCATGTTACATCCATACTGATAACCCGCTGACCAAATTGATATTGTTACAGAAGAGTCTGTTGCGTTATTAGCCGGAAAACAGTGCCCCTTATATCACTCTTCTGTTTTAAAATTGTCTCTCATATGTGCCTAGATCTCGCATACGGGCCGTAGAAAAAAGTATGCGTATTCCTTTGGCGAGGAACAATTTCGTGAACCAAATGAGATGAAAAGCTGAAACTTTGAACGGATATACCCAGTGAATTTATGAGCTAAAGATTTCAAATTCAAATATCGTCATACCGCTCGCACTGTCACGTCAAAATCCGCACTTGGCATTGTGCCAACTCGAAGACCAGCCGGAAAACTGTGGTTGAGATTTCGTCAGAATATTTATCGTCCATACAGAAAATCGTACACCCAAACTGAGTTTCGATTTGCACTTGCGCCACGACTTATGGAACTTCAACGATATTTGTAGTGAAGTAGCTGTTTGGTTTACGAGACAAACTACGAGACTGGGACTTTACACACGTGTGATCTTAGTTCAGCTTGGAGCTGAAATTCCTTGCACGCGGACGTGACAAGCACTCAGCTTTAACGCAAACTCAAAAGCGAATGCACTTTGCAGGTTTCATAGTGCTTTTGCGAATTCCTTAAAATTTGCATTTTTCCGACGAACGAGCTGTTTCACCGAGAAGACGACCGAGTTTCACGCAAAAAAATGATGATCATGCGCAATAAAGG